GGCTCGGGCTCGGTTCAACTTGTCAATCAGCAAGCGGTCAGAGGCGGAGCATCTGGAGAGGACCGCCCCCATCTCCGCCTCGTTCCTACGCTCGATCGCGGCGTCTGCCGCCCCCTCCAGGTCACTGACAGGAAGAAGAGAAGAAGAAGAGTTACCCGAGTGGTCCACCTGTCTGATGAGGTCACAAGTGACGTGTCTTACCTGACAGCCAGGTGAGCTTTGACCTTCTGCTCAGGCGTCACCTTGGAAACGTACTTCTTGGCTTCGTACTTGTTGTTGCACTTCATGCAAACTTCAACAAATGCCTGAAGAAGAGGCGGAGCTAAGACTCATGGGAAATGTAGTTCGACTTCATTTAACTATAATGCTGCTGTTGTAAGGGGCGGGGCTTATTCTTACCAGGTAGCCAATTGGAGACTTTTTGCTCTTTGAGAACTTCTCTAACTCCTCCCACTCCTCCTTCTCTGCTAATGACTTCAGCTTCAACCACCAATACCTGCACAGGTAGAACAGGTAGAACAGGTGGACAGGTGAGACATGTGAGACAGGTAGATAGAGAGGTGGGTTTCCAACATTTAAATAAGAGAGTGATGTCAGCCAATCAGAGCAGGGCGCTGTGAGGTCTGCGTCTCACCTTTTGTCAGGCACTCTGAAGTCTCTGTACAGCTGCTCGGCCTGTTTGTGGAGTCCTAACGCCAGCAGCGCCTCCATGGTCGCCTGGACACAGGTGACATCACAAGGTGACGCGTTACTGCTGGACGTCTAACTGGTCGACCTTATCAACACCAGGAAGGACACCTAAACCTACCTGTAGAGACAGTCCCAGAAGCCCCGCCCCCTTCTCGTCATCCAGTTTGCGTTGAAACCGAAGCAGACGCATCTCGTCCTCGGTGGCCTGCAGACGGAACATCAGACTGAAGGTCAGACAGCGACGTCACAGGACGTCCTCACCTGCCCAACAGGTGTTCAAACAACCGACTGCACCTGCAGCCGCTCAGTGATGAACA